TGTTCTTCCTCCCTGGCCTCCAGGCCAGCCAGTGTTCTCATGGGCCCTCTGCAGGCTTTAGCCAATCCAGCCCTTTCCCCATCATGGGGCCAGAGCAAGGAGGGGGTCTTCTCCTCTTCCGGGGGTCCCCTGCTCCCCTCACACATACAAGGTGTTGGCTCAGCCGAGCGAGTCCAGGCCACAATGGCCCCAGAGGGGTCTGCAGTCAGCCACCTCCACCTCAAGGGCAGCACTGGCACCACAGGGCGTCTGCCTCCAGATACTGCCCGCCAGGCCTGCAGAAGGATGAATCCTGCAGCCTGCTGCTTCTGCTCCTTCCTCAGCAGCCATCCCACCTTCTCTGCTGAGGCCCTCACTCAGAGGCACCCCGGGCTGAGTCAGCCCGCAAGCTGCTTTACAAAGGATCATCTCCCTCCCGCACACGGGAAAAGCACAGCAGGGACGAGCGGAAAGAATGTACCTATAGATATGTACATACCACAGTGCTGTAATTTTGTATGTAGCAATCATGTAAATACATGTATGGATTTTATAATATACATATTCTATATAAATCTATAAAGGCATATTTTTAGAAAAACAGCGCACCACTGCTTCTTTTGAAAATAGTCTAAGAATAAAATGAATTTCTACAGAGCCTCCCGCCTCCATCATTGGGTATCTGGAGGGCTTGTCTGGGCGGAACGCAGCTCACATTTCAGAAGCGCCGCCAGCTGGCTGTGGTGGTAGAGGCACTAATGAGTCCTTCACGCACATGGGAGCTCACCTCCCATGTTGGCGTGACCGGTGGGTGGATCCAGCCAGAAAGGGGCATCCTGTCTGTGACAGCCCCGTGGGGACCGCCTCCACGCCAGCCCGGGGCCCGGGCGCCCCGCCAGCGCTACAGCTGCCCGGCTATGGGCGGGCCCCGCCAGCACTGCTCCCCAAGCCTTGAGTGGGCCCTGCAGCTCACCAGAAACCAAGCCAGAAATCACTGCTGCATCCTTCCAGGCACGTGGGGAATGAACACGGCACTTCCCGGGGCATCGTCCCACATGCGCTTCCCACCTGTGCATCACACCAGAGGAGCTGCTCAACCTGGACCAGCCTTTTGTGGAGAAAGCAAACTTGGCTTCTGAAAGCATCCCTGGGCTTCAAAAGGCACCTGTGCTGGACTCCGACCAGAACAAACAAGAGCTGGATCCAGAGGGCGGGAAGAAACCGGGCCCACCCAGAGCACAGCTGGAGGAGAGGAAATAGATCCTGGAAGAAAACTTGGCAGCTTGAACCTTTATTTTTAGTATTTTTTTTAAAAAGCATAATTAGAAACTTTCAATACAGAAATAATCCTAGCAAACCATTTAAAAGTTTTGTTCGACAGGAATTTCACATCAGGTCCACCAGGACGTCGGTCTAGCCCTGTGAATCCCCCACCCCCACCCCCCATTCATGCGTGCAACACTCAGTGGGACAGGCACACCGTCGTCACCAAAATCACCCCACCACCTGGGTCTGGACAGCCAGTTGCCAGAGCCACGGTGCCTTCTTGCCTGGGCTGGAAACATCCAGGACCCCTTGCCCTTATTGCTTGAATCTGCAAGCACTGCCACACTGATGTCACGTGAGTGCTGCCCACCCTCCCCCACAGGACTGTGGTCATTCAGGGTGGCCACGCTGCACAGCACGGCTCCCCCAGGCCCAGGGCTCCCCCACCTCTGCAGGCGGCTCCAGCGAGGGCCTGGCCATGCAAGCACAGGCTTTTGGCAGTCTGGGGAAGTGGAGGGACAGGTCAGAAGAAACCCCCCATTTTTATTGATTAAAAACCCATCGACAGTGTTAACATGGAAAATCTGCAGTGTGATGTGATTGTCCAGTCAGGGCATTGCCTGGAAAATCGCCTAGGAAAGGAAATCCAACAAAACACATCATGGTGTTGAAATAAATTATTCCCAGGTTACGTGATCCTTTTAGGGGAAAGGTGAATGATGAAGTGTCCCACGAGGGACAGTAATCAAGTGCAGATGACCCTGGCTTTTTCCTCCAGGGGACCAGGATCAAAGCTGGCTGGCTCCCAGCCCCGGCTGCCATTCCTTCCCACCCGCTAAGAAATCTTCATGCTGCCTTTGTATTAAAACAGTTCTGTCACTGCTCCAAGGCTGCCTGCCGTCCACCTCCGAGGCGATGTCCCCACAGTCCAGCAGCCCCTGGCACCCACTCCTCAGATTCGAAGGTGCCTGGTGCCGCAACGGAGACCCAGGAAGTCGGTGGAAAGCCCTAGGCCGACAGACAGGGTGGGAGGTGCGGTCTCCTTTCCCACCAAGAACAGCCCGGGAGGCAAAGCTGCTCTGCCAGGAGCCAGCTTCAGCGCCAGGAAGCCATTCAGCTCTTCCAAAACCACCAGACCCGAAGCGCGGAGGCCACAATTTTTGCTGTGCCAACCAAACCTCAGGAAGAGAAAGTGTGAGGAACTTAACCCATTTGATTTGCCTTCATTTTATCTGTAAAATAATGCTCCTCAACACCTCTGCAAGCCCCATCCCTGCACAAACACACCCCTACCTTTCTGTTGGAACTGAAACAGGTTGGTAAAAATTAAAAGCCATGGCTCCCCTGGGTTTGTAATTCAGAGGCATCTAGAAGGCAGGACAAGAGACCTGGTGACCAAAAGGCAGGAGCAACTCTTTCTGCAAACCAAAAGGCTAGGCCTCTAATGGGAACCCCCAGGCCTACCTTGAGGCCAGGCTTTGCCCCAGCTGCCTGCCTGGATGGTTACGGGGGCGGGGTGGGGAGGGAAGGGAGCTGGCTTGGGAAGAGACTCGG